CCTCCGAAGTAATGAAAATTTATATGGGGCTGGTTGTCTAGGAATCAGGCATAAAAACAGAATTCGGAAGCACACCCACAACTGCAACAGCAACAAACACCCTCCAATGACATTTTTATTCAAATTAACGGCTTTACAAAGTTCCCAAAATAAAAATGCATACATTATCGATCCCCAACTCGTATTTTTAAAATCCCAAAACACACAAAGATGATTCAAAAAATTAAATGCAATTTGTTTCAGGATTTATCTTACATCAAAATACCCTAATAATTCTAAAATATGAGCACGAGCATATTGTTGCAAAAACAATAAAAATAATAAATAATATTTGAAAATTAAAAATCAAAATAAATATCCATAATTAAAAAATTATATTAACTTATTTCATTAGTTTCAGAGCATTTTGGATAGCTGTGTGAAATTGTCGTCCAAAAATTCAATAAATATTTTACCACCATCCATGAATTGGTTAGGCGGACGAGTTTCGATCAGGTGCTCAAACAAGTTGACCCAAGGATCTTCGACAACGCGGGTAACAATCGCTCCGTAAACAGGTAGTCCAAGATGAAATGTAAATATTGCTGGATAATAATAGCCTCCCCATACAGAAAATGAAATGTGCATGTCTTAGCCTCCGTCTTTCTAGCAACACATTTATCAGTGGACGATGCAACTTAACACCACCAAATATTGTGCTGATATGCCAAAAACTGGCTTCGTGCAAATACGATATAATTTGCATATCAAGTTCCTTGACACGGTTGATATACGTCATCAATGATAGTTCATACTCCTTCAAATTAAATTTTAAAAATTAAACAACTAAATAAAAAAAATTAAATACAGCTCACGATTTCTCCACCAGTAATCAAATATATGATTTCGATTGAATCTCAATGACCCACCATAATATTGAATATTTGAGTTTTAAAAGTAAGAAATAATGGAATATTCAAAGAAAGAAATGTAAGAAAAACCTTTATATTAAGTTTATATTCATAGTGGTCTTCGTACCTTTTCGAAGTGAGATTAATAGGACCTCACAAGGCATGAAGTCTATAAGGGGTACCTTTTATTGGAATCAAGTCCAACATGTCCTATCACAGTTCACGTCTTGCACAAGACGAGGTCCCAAAGATTTTATTTAAAATATATTTTTAAATTTTTTTAGGAATTCAAAATTTTAAATTAGGATTTTCTTTAATTATGGAATTTTTTTAATTACTAATGTATTTTAAGTTCTTTTTTAAAGTAATAATATTTTTAATTAGAGAAATTTGTGATTATTATTTTTTAAAACCTTTTTTAATTAAGGATTTCTTTTAATAAGATAAATCTTTTAATAAAAAATAAAATATTTTTCATTATTAATTATTTGAACTAGAATTTAAAAATTTAATTTTTAGATAGATTTTTTAAAATTATATTTTTTATTTTATATTACCATTAAAAGACGCATCAATCCAATTATCGAATCTGTCGTTTGGCAGATGGCGGTAAATTCTTGAATCGATTTATTTTTTTGGGACCTCACGTTGAATGGAACGTTGGATCATTTATCTAACTATTAAATTAGGTGATCTGAAAAGTTAATCCTAAGATGAATCTCACAGCTTGAGGAACGTGAAATCGTTGCACGCTTGTATAAAACACGAGGTAATCTTACGTATATATTTTAGGGTTATTTTTTTCAAATAATGTTGTATAAGGGCTGTTTTCCTAATTAATTATTTTTTTGTTTTTTAAAATAAATATGCCCCAATTTCCTTCACCATTCTGCTTATTTTTGGAATATCTCTTATGTATAACTCGAATCGGACCAAATAGAACAGAATAATAAAAACCTAGAGGTTAAAGATGGGTTGAAGACTTTCCCACGCACTTGAACAAGCGAATTGGTCGAATATAATAGGCTGCTACTTTTATCTAAACCAGATCCCTTAACACGCGAGCTATAATAGGAATGCAAAATGCACACGCATGGTTCGAATTTTTACTGTGTATTTGCCATCGCCAAGTGTCCAATCCCCACTCTCAACTCACCAGCGCGTGCTTCAAACTTTTTAACTCTATTTAAAAATCAATTTCTAATCGACCGATTAAGTTTCCAAATATTGCAAACAGACGATTGGATGGTTTTTCAACAAAGAAATTTCCATACAATCAATGATAAAAAAAATTACATACAATCAACTTGATTCGAAGCAGTAAACAGTTGGACTGTTATAAGTGAGTTTACACTAAAAACGCTACGACTCAGTTCGAGTACCGAGTCGGAAATGGAAACGTATTTACACATAGTTCTCACTTTGTAATATACTCTGATGATTCTGATACAAAAAGAAGAAAAAAAGGATTAGCCAAAGACACCTAAAGATCGTTAAAAGTTAAATAAAAATATAATCTTAAAATACCAGAGAAAACAACATTTCACAGCCACAGGGGTGGCGGCTCATTCAAATCAATAGGCAGACCACGTCGAACCATCCCCAAAAACGACGCCGTGGACCCATTTTCAGGCACCGGAGGACCGGTCGAAACACCAACAACACCGGTTGGTCCCGTCGATGGCATTTCTTTGATAACCCCAGTTTGCAGAAACTCGCCCATGGCGGCTAAATGGCGATGATGGTGATGGTGAGCTGAAGATAAAGGCCAACGGCGGTGAGAGGCGAGGTTGAGATCCAGAGAGAGAGAAGGCGGCGGAGGTGGAGGTAAAGATGATGGGGTGGTGGGGAAGTTGGTTTTAGCTTTGGAACCGCGGAGGGTTCGGGCGGCACTGTCGTAAGCGAGTGCAGCTTCTTCAGGTGTGTCAAATGTACCCAACCAAACCCGGGTCTTCTTCCATGGATCGCGTATTTCGGCGGCGTATCTTCCCCATGGCCTCTTCCTTACTCCCCTGTAGTGTCCTTCCCTTGAAGACGCCATGAGAGCGAAACAATGATAAACAGATACTAAAAACCCCTGCGGTTATTTTGACTGTTTTCTTCATTCCTTCATGACTCCTATGTATATAGTCATATATAATTTTTAAAATTTTAAGAATTAAATATTTTGGTTTTGAAACGACAGTATTATAATATGTCTGATATTTTATCTTTTTCCTCTTTACTGGATTATAACAATACTTTGAATGTCTACTTTTTTATGCTTTTTTAATTTAATTATTGATACACGATTCTCTATTAATAAATTAATAATTACATTTATTTATTACATAATATTTTTTTAATTTAATTTATTTCGTTCTTAAGATTATAATTTAAATTTTTTTACTTTATTTATCAATAATATTTTTTTTACAAGATCTTCCAACAAATTTAATTAATATAAATATGAACATATTGAAATTTTAACAAAATTTTTTTTTGAAGACAATCGAAAAAGTCGAAAAGCCCGAGATAGCCGCCGCCTGACAAAACTCAGCGGCGGTGATTACGTATGCCCTACTCTTTCTTATCTGCAGCGGCGCCTGCCTTTTAATGTTAAACATACATAAAAAAATAAGTGGGGTGATGATTATTATTATAAGTTGGGGACAGTGCGGGCATCAGCAGAGTATCAGAGTCGCAGAGTGGGTGTGTGGCGTGTCGGGTAGTGAGTGGATGATTGTAGCAGGAGAGAGAGCCCACGTGGGAGGTACATAAAAGAGGTGTCTGAGTCGCAGGAGACAGGACCGAGTTGGGAGGAGAGGGGACTGAGTTTTAGTGGTGGCGTGTTGGACTGGGTTTTGGGAGTCAGAGGAAAAGAAAGAAAGAAAGTGGTGCGGTGGGACTGAGAAGGGGGAAAGTGTACCGGGGGGGGGGTGTGAACTGAATTGACAGCAGGTTTAGTGACATATCGTCACGTGAAGTTATTTTCTTTGGGTTTATTTTTATTTCACTTTTGTTTTTGGATTTGTTGGTTCCATGACACGTTGTTGGATATAAATGCTTGAACGGCACTAGAGCCCATTGGATTCTTCCTTTTCTATCGACATAATTACTGAAAACGATAAATAAAAAATAGTGTGTTATTATTTCATCCAACGTTTATTTTGTCTAATCTGTACAGAAAAAACATCATTGATGAAATAACTATTGTTAATTGACACTAGGAATGAAAGAATAAAGGGAGATTAAAGTTCTACGAGGAGGAAAGCATAGTCTCTGTCACTTTATCAATTATGACTCGGTATTTATAATAATTTTAGTTGATAGTGTTAAATATAGGGTACTTATAGTTGGTAAGTCAACAAATTATATAGATCTAGAATTTTATCTTGCTAAATTACGTGGATCTATCAAAGATTTTTTGATCTACTGTAGTTGACTCGGAAGTTATGAGTTCTTTCGAGGTTCTCGTAAGCGAAAGATGCTTTTAAAGATTAGTCTGATTGAGAATTGATAATTTTCGGAGGTGGCTTCAAAGATATAAGAATATTATATTTATATTATATTTTTTTAAAATTATAACTAGTAACACTCTCGATACTAAGATTGACCTAAAACACACTGATTTTGTATTCGTATATGCACTTGTTCATTCTTTGCTAAGGTTTTACAAGATATCTTTCTGCCGAACTTAATATCAAAAGAATAGACGAAAATGTACAAGCTGAATGAATTGCCGCATTTCGTGTGATTGTTGGGGTATCTGACCTTTTTTTCTTGGCAGAAATATCCTGGACTAAAGAAACTGAGATGGCTGTATCAACCGATTTAATCACGATAGCAAACTAGGTCCATTCTCGGCGGCTGTCCGCGTATTGTCATGGTTATGATGATGATTGTGATGCCTTGACATTGGATATCATGCGAGAATTGAGTCCTTGCTTTTGCATAAGGAGCACCTCTGGCTGCACAGGGCACACATAAATGTTAAGCTTGTTATATTTTGTTTGGAGATTTATCCCAAAGGTAACTAACCAACCTGCCATCTGCTGTGCTCGAAGAATATTCTGCCGCCTCTTCCAATAACAAACCGAACAGATAACTAGAAGTAAAAATGCTAGAGATGCAAAGAAGACGATGCCGACCTTTGCACCAGCAGAGAGGTGCAGTCCACATGTACGTAGTCCGGGTATGCCGCAGAGGCCAGCATTATCGGTAAAACTGCAAGCAACAATAGTAGGCGTTTGATACAGAGAACTGGCACGATCATTCATCAAAGATGACATTTTTGACAAATACTAATAAGTATCTAGGACATACTTGAAGCTATCTCCATTCAAAAGCCTTCCTCCAAGTGCAGCCGGGACTCTTCCAGACAGAGAGTTGCCATTAAGATTCCTGCATCATCACAATATAGATCACACTACACAGTCTATACTGTACTATGCTCAGATAGAGGGTTAATCAACAAAATGAGATCTTACAATCTGCGTAATGCTGTCAACTGTCCCAGGCTTTCAGGAATTGATCCGTTGAGGGAATTGTAGGAGAGATCCCTGCAATTTTTATTCAGACATCTCACGAATAAGATTGATAAAGCTTAACTGAATGTAGGTACCAAAGTGAAATATTTATGTGTTTCTTATAGCACAGACACTGGAGTTTAAAACCAAATTGTCCTTTGACAAAGAACGGTAAGTTCTCATCCAGAGTTTAAGGTCCTTTTAAGCGTGATGGCTATTGAAAGAATAATTCAATTAACAACGCCAAAGATACATCATTGATCGAGAAAACATCAGATATGGTAGGTCATAATCAACCTAATGTCGATGTTCATGCACAAAATAGTTACCAAAGTTTAAATTCTATGCCTAAAAATATAGATGGTATTATAATCACCTTAGTTTTGAAAGGCGCAAAGGGTCCCGGCACCTTAGGCTCGCTTTTAAAAAACTAAGATAATTACAAGCATCTTCATTAAGGAAAAGAAATTATGCTACACTTACAAGAATTGTAAGGTGGTGACTGTTCCAAGTGATGATGGGATGGCCCCATGAATTGTGTTTCTACTCAAGTTTCTATAGAGGCCCAGCACAACATAAACAAGAGAACTGGATATTAGGCATATAGGAAGAGGACAGTTTGAGAAAGTAAGGGAAAATAAGTTTTATGTTGCATAGCAAAAAAAGCCTAGTTTAAAAAAAATGTTTTATTTGTACTTACAAGATCTGTAGGTGACGTAGTTTGGATATTTCATTAGGCAAGAACCCCTTTAGACCTTGGTTGTCAAGAACCCCTTTAGTTTGGATATTTTTATTAATAAAAATATTAATATTAGTACATTTTATTGAAATAAAATATTATAAAATATATGAATTATTTATTAAATTAATAGTATTATATTATATTTAAAAATTTATTAATATATTTTAAATATCTTTATTAAAATATTATTAAATTATTAAATTAATATTAAATACATAAATAGTATTATTCATTATTAATAATTTAATAATATTATTTCTATAAAATTAATAAATAATATAAATTTTATTAATATTTTATTGTATATTATTAAAATAAAAATATAATATCTTATATTATTATAATATAATTGAGTATTTTATTATAATATTAAAAATATAATACTATATTATTAGAAATATTAATAAATATATTTTAATATTTTAATAATTAATATTTTGATTAAAATGATATTAAAATATTTTATTAATATTAAATTCATTAAATAAAATTATTTTGAGTATTTATTCTTTGAAGTGAAAAGTTCAAAAAATAACTTACGGAATATCATACCGTAAGTCATTTTTATATAACACAAAGGAAATTATGTTGATCAGGAAAATGGTTTATGTTGACCAATCAATTTTCCTCCAAACAAACACTGAAAAATTAAGAAAAACATTTTTCGAAAAATGTTTTGCGTGAAACAAACAAACTTTAAAAAAATTTGAACTAGAGAAACCCTAAACCCAATTTTTTTAACTCCTCATCCAAACCCGAGAAAATCCAATGAAATAATCTAATTTAGAAGGTAGCTCATTTCGATCATACCTAAATTCACATTTTTACAATGTGTCTACCAAAAATCCGGGGATCTTAGACTAAAGACAATAAATAAATAAGAGGACCTAAATTCTAATGGTCATAAAGAGTACAAGGACTGGAACAGAATTAAACCCAATACAGATTAGGATGCACTAATTGACAGCTGAGCTTCATCAATGTTGAAGGACCATACAATCAGACGGCAATCGAAGTAACTATGGGTTTAATTGAGCAGTGGAGATTTAGTGACTAGCAAAACTCGATTCGACATGAAAAAATAATTTTTTTGATTCGATTCAAAAACAATCGGTTCAAATTAACTTTGAGTTGTAGTTTCATAAATTCGATTAAAAAAATTTCAAGTTCAAATCGAGTTGTAAAATGTAACTCTAATAACTCAAACATTTTAGTAATCAGTTGATTAATTTTCAAGTTTAAGTAAAGTTCATCTATTACGAATGATATATGGTTATAAAGAACCATTTAAATTGGAATCAATAATATAATAATATTATAAATATTTCAATTAAATTTAAATAGAAACTCGAAAATTTAACTCGACTCTACTCGAAAAAAATTTCTAGTCAATTTTGAGTTTTAAAATAGAACTTGTCAACTCGAAAATCTCAATTTTTTTTACTCGAACAAAAACTATAATCATTGACACAAAAGCTAGCCACCTATATCAAACAAGTACTAAAAAATGAAAGGTTAAAAAATCTAACAAAAAAAATTCGAACAAAATAAAGATACAAAAAATCTGACTATATCGGCAAACGAACCATAAAAGGGGATGAAGTTACAGAAAAATCATCGATAAATTGCAAATCAGAGTTAGCGATGTGAAAAAATTATCCACGAACGTAAAACATGTATCCAAATCAATCCAAGTGTCAAAAGCAGAGAAGATCAACATGATAACAAATAAGTGTCATATTGATTAGTTGTGACGATATTAAATCTAACAATGAGAAAAAAAGATAAACGAAAACAACAACCACACAATCAAAAACTACTAAAAGACAGAAATATATGTCGCAAAGACAAAATTATTCTTATTAAAAAAGAAACAAATAGAGAAAACAACCGATAATTGACAACCAACATCAAAATCGGTGCCGTCGACGGCTAAAAAAATTAAAGAAAAAAAATTTTAATGTTGACACTCATTTTTTCGTCTCGTTTTTTTATATTTATTGATATTATTACTTATTATTATTACATATTTTGCAGCCCAATTACAACAAATCCAGAAACCCAAAAAAATCAACTCGAATCAGCCCAAGCTCGGATATGACCCGCCAGTCATCAGAGGTGCATGTGTTCTTCATTGCTGTTCTCATTCATGCGATGAACATCCACCAAATGTCCTGCAGCACCATCACGTGAAGCACCCAAATCTTCAGAGAACGTCATTGCATACGCCAAATATTTACCTGCTCCCATCAAAACTTCACCAAACACAAGGAAATTAACAAAAGATGACAAGAAGATTCGGTGAAGAAGAGGAAATAAAATTGGAGTCTCTCGACCAGAAAAAAAAGGGAAAAGGGAGGAGGTTTTCCTGGATACTGAGAAAGAAAAACATAAAATCATTATAACAGGGATATAAACATTGTATTAAAAAAGCCGAGAAAGTAATAGAAATACCAGGACGTTTGAGGTATTATTTATTTGGTTTTCTCTTTATTTTCCAGTTTCCTTTTATATGTATGTTCGTATTATTTGAAACAAAAAAATTAGTGTAAGTTGGTTCATTTCCTTCGATTAAAAGAACAAAACCCAAATGTTCTTCCCGAATCTTCAATAAAAAATAATCCATGTAAGAGTTTTTTTTATATATTCGAAAAAATAAAGCAATACAAAGATTTTCAATTCACTTATTTACAACACAGTGCTAAGACCCAATATTTTCTTCAAACATAGCTTTCTTTATTTTTCTTAAAATTAACAAAGTCATATCCATTTTCATTCTTAATAAATATATTATGTAAAGAATAGGGAGATATCATTTACCTTCCAAAAAGAGTCTCGTGACCGGAGTAAACCCTTGCATGCTCGATTTAAGGCTCGATCTGAGTGTTTTAGTCTAATCGAGAGTCATTGTTGTTACCGGCCACTAGAAATAGGATGAGTTAGATTAATCATGAAAAAAATCGAAACTTTAAAAAAGAGTAAGGAGAGTGATGGGATTGTTGGGTATGGTGTTAAAATATAAGGCTTGGGGCTTCGAACGAAGATGATGGTAGCTTGAGTGCGATCGTGCGAGCTTGGGAAGCTCTGGTATCTCTTCGGTGTTCTCGACCGAACAAGTGAAAGAGGGAGGCTGAAGAAGGAGAGAAGCTGCACAGGGAAAATTTTAAAAACAAAAAAAATGGAAAATTTAAATAGGCTAGGGTTTAGTTCATGTTTAAAATAATATATATATATTTATTCATTAAAACAACATTGTTTCAATAGTTAAAGCCGTGTTTTACATAAGGAGGGGTAAACGCTTTGGTTAATCCTTTGAGATTTCAATCATTCAACTTGGGTCCTTAAGTTTTTTTAGTTTCTGATTGTAGCTCCTAAGTTTCATGCAAATTTCATTTCGGTCCCTAATTGTAGATTTATATATTTATAATTTTGTCTATGTACTTTATGCGTATTAAATTTTAGTCCCTTATATATTTAATTTTATTTTAATTTTGGCATAATATTTTTAATAACTTATATTTTAATTCTATTTTATTTAATTTTTGCATGTTGATTGCATTTGAATTCATTTAGTCCTGATAAGCATTGCATGATAGCCTCATGTACATAACTTGACATAATTACATAAATTGACTAAGGGTAATATTCGAGTATTTTAATATTTTCGTAAAGTTATTGTCTTAACGTATAAGAAAGTTACTTTCGATAATTTTAAAATGAAAGTCTATCCCGCAAAGTGACACCAATTAAATCGAATCCATTTTATAAAATTTGGGATTGAGGAAAAGATCATATTCTTTAATAAATTCATTGAGAAAAGACAGTTAGATCGAATCTATGGTCTCGTCTCTTGATATTTAATTAATTGAATATCCTTATTCTCATTAAATATTAATAAAAATAAATAATTAATCAATTACTTGATAGGTTTTTTTTTTTACTTTTGCATGTGTTTTCAAAATAATAATGTTTGATCATAAATAATTAAATATTATTATTTTATCTCTAAAAATTATTCTGGGTGTTATTATTTTGAAATTTAGAATGAAATTTTAATATTTTTATTTCGATTGGAGTAAGAATCGATTGCTTCAAGTATGATAGATCATTTCTTCTCGATAGGAAAAAAATTAAATATTATTCTTTCATCCAAAATTTCAAAAAAATTATTTTAGGGGATCATAATCAAATTAATTTTGACTTTTACATTTATTGCAAAGACAATTAATTAATCGACTAGGTACCGATTTAGGGCACTGTGGGGGGTGCTAATCCTTTCCACGTGTAACAGACTCCCGAATCATTTTCTGGTAACGTAGACCTAAATTTGTTGTTTAATTAAAATTTTATTTAAAATGACAAACGTTTTTGGGTGCCCAATCACACCTTAATTAAAGATTGGTGGCGACTCTTCGAACCGTATTTTTATCATAAAGGAATTTCTAAATTTTCGAAACGAGAGGTTTTTTTTTAATCACATTCATTTTTAATTTAAATTTAATCTGAAGAGAATAATTAAAAATTGGTGTGGTTTTCAAAATCTCGCACTCGGGAAAAATAACGTTTTGACGGCTTGGCGACTCCGCTAGAGACTTTTTTTAGAGAGTCAGGCCAATAATTGATTAATTAATTGTCTTTGCAAATAAAAAATACAAGTTTGTTCTAATTTGATTTTGATCCCTATTTGGTTTTTAATATTATTTATTCAGAATTTGATTAACCAATAAATAATTGTATTGATCTGTTTGTTAATAGTTTCAGATTAATTATGTGTCTAAAGAGGATTTATTTTTTGAGTATCTTGTGATTATGTGTTGTTTTTACTTTCCTCACACACTGCACATCTGCATTTGTATAACATGAGCTAAAACCCCACTCCGTCCTATTTAAGTAAGAGTAAGTAACTACTCCCTCGTGTGGTTTTCACCTCCGTACGAGATAGTGAAACGCTCTTTGGGCTCACGCCTTATGATCCTCGTGAGGTTTTCACCTCCGCAATGACATAAGGAAGTGTGTCCCCTCGAATTGAACTCGATCCGAAAGCCTTTGATGGGCCAGAATTGAGGGTTCGATAGCTCAAGGGGCACCGGCAAAGGACAATTCGATGACCTCTTACTTTAGAACCGAACCCATCATGTAGTAAACTTAGAACCCAGATATAACCTTACCTAGATCATATGATCCTGTGAGGAGAGTACACAAGGAAAAGCTTATTTAAGCATTCTTTAGTGAAATTTTAATTTTCGAATAAATGCATGCGAACTAGAAATCATGCGGTTAGGTTTAATTTCTTGGATAAGTATATGAACTAGACGACATGAGGTTATGATGTTCTATAAACAAAGCATATGGGTAGAAATCATGACTGGGTCGGATCTACTAAAGCATGATTGGGTAGCTAACATGTGGGGTAGGTTTCATCGATAAATTGAATTATGTTTAATCAATTCATTTATGATTACTGACTGATTTTCTTTCCTTTTGTTTACTTTGTCTTCATCTTGCATTGCACTATTCATATCATTGGTGTTGATCAATGACTGATGTCCATATAGAAGATTAGTATTATAGAACGAATGATTGAAAAAGATGTAGAGGACAATGCATACGTCTTGAGATGGTCTGAGTAGTCATAGCTAACAAATGGAAACAATCTATCGCCAGGGTACGTGTCAGAGCTCAGAGGGTATACTCACATCAACGTTTGTCAGAATGATCTAAACGGGCTGAAAGAGATTTGGGGAAGAATGGAAGCGTCCGATAAGCAGTTGTTTTATCAACTCCATGGTGACATTTCATATCTCCTTGATGTCCCGATTGATCGGAATCTATTTAGAGCTCTGGCTTAGTTTTGGAATCCCGCGTAAAGTTGTTTTACATTTGGCCAAGTAGACATGACGCCTATTATAGAGGAGTATCGCATCTTGATTCGTTGTCCAAGGTTCCAAGTTGACAAAGTATACACCAAACCGCCGAATACTCATTCCTTTAAGAAGAAACTTATTCTAATGACTGTCATGAGTGAAGAATGGGTTATGAGAGGCATAAAAAAGAAAGGAGACCGCGAATGCATTACTTGGACCTTTCTGAGAGAATTGGTTGACCGTCATCCTGATAGAAGAAAGAAGATTGACTTCTTTGCGCTAGGAATCTACGGATTGGTCATTTTTCTGAGAGTTCTTGGGTATATTGATGTATCAGTGGTTGACCTATTCGAAAGACTGGATAGACATATGGATCCTGTTCCAGCTATCCTGGCAGAAACATTTCGTTCCCTGAGCTCTTGCCGACGAGAAGGGGAAGGACACTTCATAGGTTGTGCTCCATTGCTACTAACTTGGATCTTTAGTCATTTCAAACACATCGAGAGAGCACCTGGTCGGGTCTTCATAGATGGTTTTTCACCGTTGAAGGATTTTATTTCTCGAAAGTGGCCTGGGGGTTTCACTGAGGAAAAGTGGATGGTCATCTTCAAAGGCATATGAGACAACGATATTCTGTGGCGTACTTCATGGAACATCTCATCAGACATATTGTATCAATGTGGAGACAGAGATTGGGTTCCACTACTAGGTATTTGGGGATCTGTAGGGTATGCCCCTTTACTAGTCTCCCGACAGTTTGGATCAAGGTAGTTTATTCCAGCAACAGGGGAGTTATCCAAGTCTGAGTTTGCATTCAGGGGAGAACAGTATAAGAATAAAGTTAAAGAGGTCACCGATGCTTGGAGATGCACCTATCGAGTAAATCTCTTTATTTTTGATTTAAGGCTATCTCCAAGGTATGAGGAGTGGAGAAGCAATCAAGTCAATGATAATATTCCGATAGGTAATCACGAGAATACCCAACCTATGGAAGAACACCTCAGGGTGATTCCGTCTCCGCTCGAACAAGCCAAGCTTGATTTTGAGGTGGAAAGGAAACAATGGAGAGCAACTTTGCAGAAGCTAGAAGATGAAGTGTATCAAAAAGGACTAGAGATTGACATCCAAAAGAGTCGAGCTGACCGGATCGAAAAAGTGGAGAGACAACTCAGATTGGATTTCAATGATCTCCAGTCATCATACCAGGGAATGATCAAGGATCAAGTAGCTGCTAGCTCAAGTAAGTCTTCTGCTGAGTGGAGACAAGAAGTGGTAGGATTGAAAAGAGAAATTGGGGAAAGTAGTGAAGAACTCAAACAAAGCAGACACCATGCAAAGCTACTTTCGAGAGAAAAGAATGCCCTTGAACAACAACTGAAAGAGAATCAGACCCAAAATGAGAAGTTGAAGAGTAAAGTATTGAGCTTAGAGACTGTTGTACGACGATATTGAATTCAAGAAAGTAGTTCAAACCATGCTGAAGATGAAAGATTGACAAAGCGGGTGAATGAACTCGAGGCCTTAGTTCAAGATTTGCAAAGAAGAGCAAATGAACTTCCCTTAGTCCCTTATGAAGGAGTTATGCAATGGCGCTTTCGTTGGGAACATGCTCAGAGGAGAGTTAGGCAAAGGGATGATCTCATCGCAAGATACCTACAACAGGCTCAAGGAGTGGCTCAGTACTTGGTTGACCTATCACAAGAACCTGATGATGTGATCGAAGAACTGGATCCCGGGGCTGAAGAAAACCAGAGGATTGTGGAATTACTAGGACACATCCAAAATTTAGGAGAAATAGCTCAGATGTATCTGTGATTTGTTCAATCATTGTAATCGAGTTTCGTTTCCTATATAAAAAGTTGTTCTAAGGAATCGTTCCGGAATCAACGCCTTGCATTGCATTCGCATTGCATTCATATTGCATATACATCACATTTATTTTTATAAATAACATTTTAATCACATTTTTCACACCTCATTAATAAAACACCAATGTTAATAAAGAGATTATGTGGCAGAATACTGGACACTTACAAACATCCGTACCACACGAGAAAAAAGGCAATGGATGAAAGAATTGCCCAAATAAAGAAGACTCAAGCTGAAATACAAGAGAATTTAAAGAAAGCGCAAGAGGATATGCGCGAATAGATGATGAAGGCTCAAAACGACTTGATGGCAAAACTGGTTGGTTTGCTACAAGGAAATGGTGTAGTCCAAGAAGAGACTCCAGTTATCGGTCCTACTGCTGAGGAACCGTTATATCCCCCTGGCTTCACACCACCGCATGTCTATGCATAAAAGCCACGACCGTCCAACCGGGAAGAATACAAGTAAACCTACCTGGTTCTTCCACAAACCCACAACCAATTGATGATGTCCCTGATTTGGATGAGGAAGACAAAAAAGAACATGATAAGGAGAATAAGAAAGAATGGAAACAAATGAAGCATGAATTCCATGCTATGAAAGAAGATGCTAGCCTATATGGAATCGACGTCAGAGAGCTAAGTCTGGTCCCTGATTTAGTATTGCCACTGAAGTTCAAAGTTCCAGACTTTGAGAAATTTGATGGCACCAGTTGTCCTTCTACACACATTACCATGTTTTGTAGAAAAATGACAGGCTATGTGGAAAACGATCAGTTGTTAATTCATTGCTTTCAAGAACCGAATTCTGTTACAGAGTATGGAAAAAAGATCCAACGAGAGCTTCAGGCAATATGCCCAAAGGTGGAGAGATGTGGCTGTGCAGGTTCATCCACCATTAGAGGAGGAAGAAACTAATATGTTCTTTGTAAATACTCTGAGGGCCCCATTCTTTGGACATCTCATTGGAAATTCGTCCAAGAATTTGGCTGATATAGTCAATGCAGGAGAAATGATCGAGATGACAATCAAAAGCGGGAAGCTAGACGGGGGAGAATCTAGCCGAAAGCCTCCAGCGAGAATGAAGGATAATGACGTCAGTATGTGAAGAAATATGATTCTAATAACATTACAGTATCCCGACCTCAAGCCACCGGGTCATCTGCACCAAATCCTCTTAAGCAAGGGGTGAAGGAACCAAGACAGGAAAGGGAAAGGGTTCAATTTGACCCTATCCCCATGACCTATAAAGAGCTATTTCAGATCTTGTATGACAAACATGTGGTGTCACCATACCCCACTTCTCCAATGCAGCCTCCTTACCCAAAATGTTCGACATCAATGCTCAATGTGAGTATTATGCGGGGGCATCGGGGAATTCAATTGAAAACTGTCTAGCTTTTAAAAAGTTGGTACAGAGATTAAGAAAAAGAAATGTCATCAACTTTGGTGACAGTGAGCAGCCCAATGTGGCTCAAAACCCTCTACCGAACCATGCATGCACATGGGTTAATGTTGTTATTGAAGAAAGAGGTAACAGAGTCATACCCAAAGTCAATGAAGTGAAGTCACCCATATATTGGGTATGGGGGCAAATGGTCAAAGCAGGTTGGTTGACCTTTAGTGCTAACGGAAATAAGCACGCTTGCCCCTACCACCGTTGTGAGAATCATGTCATTCAAAACTGTGATGAGTTCAAGGCATTGGTTCAAAGGCTGATGGATAGTAAAGACATGGAATTTTTCCTTGAAGCTACGAAAGAGAAAGAGATGGAGATTTGTGCTTCTGAAGGCATATCCAAGAGAGTTTACAATGCTAACTGCCCTTTAGTCATCACACCAAAAGCCTGGACTATGGAAAGGTTAATCCCAAAAGTGGTGATCATGCCTCCGTCGTCATTTCCTTACAAGGACAACAAACAGGTCCCTTGGAGGTATGGATGCCAACTGGAGAATGTTGAGAGTTCAGAGGCTGCTAAGGAAGAGGTGGATGAGGTATGCCACTTTACCAGAAGTTGGAGATGTTATTCTCCCAACCAGACCAGTGAACCTGAGAAAAGAGCGGCCCCTGATAAAGGAAAAAGGGTCGAAATACTACTAAAAGATGATGAGCCGACAATTAATGAGCCAGTAACCAAGAACGAGGCTGTAGAATTTTTAAAATTTCTGAAGCATAGTGAGTACAGTATCGTCGAACAACTACACAAATCGCCAGCTCGCATCTCGATCCTGTCTCTACTATTAAGCTCTGAGGCACATCGAGATGCCTTGTTGAAAGTCTTGAATCAGACTTTTGAGCCAAAAGATGTACCAGTGGAAAAGATAGACCGACTGGTTGCGAATATTCAGGCGGATAACTTCATTTCTTTCTCTGATGACGAAATCCCGTCCGAAATGATGGGCAATCCCAAAGCCCTGCACATTACTATCAGGTGCAAGGGACATGTATTATCACGAGTACTAATCAACAACGGCTCTGCCCTAAATGTGATGCCATTAGTAACCTTAAAGAAATTGCCGGTCGATAGTACACACATTAGAAATTTCCAAAGCATCGTTCGGGCTTTCGACGGAACGAAGAAGGAGGTGTTGGGGAAGATCGACATTCCTTTAACTATAGGGCCATCGACTTACGAGGTTGAATTCCTTGTAATGGATATAATACCCTCCTATAACTGCTTGTTAGGAAGGCCTTGGATCCACCAGGCAGGAGCCGTGCCGTCCACTCTTCACCAGAAACTCAAATTTGTAATTGAGGGGAGACTGATATGCCTTAATGCTGAGAAAGATATCATTGCTTCCATATCTACTACCGCTCCATATGTCGAAGTAGATGAAGATGCGGTCGAGTGCTCTTTCAGAGCCTTGGAATTTGTTTATGCCACCTTTGTTGCCGAAAGAAAGAAAATTCGGAAGCCTAGGCTATCCAACTGTATCAAAATGGGGCTGAAAGACTCTGGGAAGAGGAGCCAAGATTGGAAGAGGGCTAGGGAGTCGCTTACAGGGGAATATTAGCCCAGGTTTTCTGAGTATTAAGCGAGATCGTTTTGGTCTAGGATATCGCCCGACCTTCAAGGAAAAGCTGAAGAATGTTCAAAAGAGCCAGGAAATGAGGAAAGCCATGTTAGCTGAGGAAGATATTAAGTGGGAGCCCATGATTTTCCCACCGATGCGTAGCATCTTCATATATGGGGGCCACATGTTTCAGGGGGTCCGATCGTCGAATGAGCCTGTTATCGAAAATGCCTTGAGGGATTTGGGTATAAATGTGATATCAGATGAAGGAATCGAAGACGGGAGAGCTATGGGCATCTAGCCACACCACCAGGCTTTGTATTAAACAATTGGACTGCAGAGGAATTACCTGTAGTTTACAAAACTGCTTCAGAGTAATGCACAAAAACTTTCCCTATTGTCTAAACCCCGAGGCAATAGGTGATCCTTTGTAAGGGGTTAATCTACCTGTTTTTTATTTTTTAATAAATGATGCATTCCTGTTAATTCACGAAATGGCAAACATCATCCCTTGTATTTTTTATTTCTTTGTTTATTTATTATATATTAGTATTTCATTCTATTTTGATATGGGATAGATTCTAATGTATTTGTATATGTATATATATATCCTCTCGTTCGTTATTCTTTCAGGACCTCCGGTATCAATAGTATAAATGCTGATGACTCTGACCCGAAGATAGATTTTGAGCTGCCCATATGTCAAGGGGAAATTGGAGTTTATGATAGTGATGAGGGAAACAACTTACCTTCTGAACTACTGAAAATGGTAAAGAAAGAAGATAAACAAATTATGCCCCATGAAGAGCCCATTGAGATCTTGAATCTGGGATCAGAGGAAGATAAAAAGGAGATAAAAATTAGCACCATCATATCTGCTGAGGGACGACAAAGTCTGATTGAGCTACTTCGAGAGTACAAAGATGTGTTTGCTTGGTCGTATGAGGACATGCCAGGTTTGGACACTGAGTTAGTGGTACATAAGTTGCTAATAAAGCCAGAATGTAAACCGGTACAACAGAAGCTCAGAAGGATACGACCCGAAATGCTGCTTAAAATTAAAGAAGAAGTAAAGAAGCAATTTGATGCTGGGTTCCTAAAAGTAGCCAAGTATCTAGAATGGGTAGCAAACGTAGTTCCAGTACCAAAGAAAGACGGGAAAGTACGCATGTGTGTTGACTACAGAGATCTTAATCGGGCCAGTCCGAAAGATAATTTCCCTCTGCCACACATAAACACCCTGGTGGACAATATGGTTGGAAACTTTCTATTTTCGTTTATGGATGGGTTTTCAGGTTACAATCAAATAAAGATGCATCCTGATTATATGGAAAAGACTACGTTTGTCACCATGTGGGCACGTTCTATTACAAGGTGATGCCGTTTGGGCTAAAGAATGCAGGGGTAACCTATCAAAGGGCCATGGTAACACTATTCCATGACATGATGCATAAGGAAATAGAGGTCTATGTCGATGACATGATTGTTAAAGCTAAAACGGAGGAGGAACACATCGAGAATATGTGGAAACTCTTCCAAAGATTAAAGAAATGCCAGTTAAAACTCAATCCAAGCAAGTGTACCTTCGGAGTAACATCGGGAAAACTCTTGGGGTTTGTAGTAAGCAAAAAAAAAGATTGAAGTGGACCCTGACAAGGTCAAAGCTATTCAGAATTTACCATTCCCACAAACACAAAAAGAAGTTTGAGGATTCCTGGGAAGATTAAACTATATCACCCGATTTATTTCACAATTAATCGAGAAGTGGGATCCCATTTTTCGCCTTCTCCAAAAAAATAACCCAGGGGTATGGAACGAGGATTGCCAAGGAGCTTTTGAAGCAATAAAAGGATATTTGTCGAATGCTCTAGTCTTAATGCCTCCAATATCAGGCAAACCATTAATCCTCTACTTGTCGATCTTTGAGAATTCAATGGGATGCGTATTAGGACAGCATGACCAGAATGAGAAAAGAGAAATAGCAATTTACTACCTCAGTAAAAAGTTCACTGATTGTGAGACAAAGTACTCACCCATAGAAAAGTTGTGTTGCGCTTTAGTTTGGACTACTCGAAGGCTCAGGCAGTATCTGTTGTATCATACTACTTGGCTGATATCTAAACTTGATCCTCTAAAATACCTAATGGGTGTACCTGCTTTATCTGGAAGATTAGCTCGTTGGCAAATCTTATTGTCTGAATTTGACATACAATATTTAAGCCAAAAAGCAGTTAAAGGAAGTGTTGTGGCCGATTTCATTGCAAGTAGGGCTTCTAAAGAGTATGAACCATTGAACTTCGATTTTTTGGACGAAGATTTAATGGTTGTTTCAAATGAGGAGGCAATTTCCTCTACTAATGAACATACTAATGAACAGTGGAAGATGAATTTTGATGGTACCTCGAATGCCTTGGGGCATGGGATTGGGGCAATTTTCATCTCACCTGGTGGAAAACACTTTCCTTTCACCAGCCGATTGAATTTTGATTACACAAATAACATGGCCGAGTATGAAGCATGTATTTTGGGTCTTAGAGCTGCCATTGAGCGTAAAGTGAAAACACTCAAAGTATATGGGGATTCAGCACTGGTAATTTATCAACTCAGAGGTGAATGGGAAACAAAAGATACGAAGTTGGTGGAATACCGTAAGTTGGTCCTAGAGATTATTAAAGAATTCGAGAGGGTGACGTTTTATTACCTCCCTAGAGAAGAAAATCAAATGGCGGATGCTCTAGCCACTTTGGCAGCAGCCTACAAAGTCAATGAATATTCAAGCATGATGCCTATTACGATGCAAGCTTACGGATATCCAGCCTATTGTTATAGTATAGAAGAGGAAGAGGATGGAAATCAATGGTATTATGACATCCAACAATACATCAAATATCAAAGTTACCCTGATTATGCCACTGAGAATGACAAAAGAACTATTCGAAGAATGGCCGCAGGATATGTGATTGATGGCGAGATCTTGTACAAGAAAAGTTATGATCAAGTCTTGTTATGATGTGTAGATGCCAAAGAAGCCAAAATGATCATTGAAGAAGTGCATGAAGGAGTATGTGGTACCCATGCTAATGGACATGGAATGACTAAACAAATAATGAGATTTGGATATTATTGGTCAACTCTGGAAACTGATTGTATCAATTTCTCCAGAAAATGTCACAAATGCCAGATTTATGGAGATAAGCTCCACACTCCTCCTCTTCCATTGCGCGTAATGACTGCTCTGTGGCCATTCTCTATGTGGGGCATGGATGTCATTGGGCAAATTTTACCCAAAGCTTCCAATGGTCATCGTTTCATATTTGTGGAAATAGACTATTTCACTAAGTGGGTAGAAACGGCCTCCTATGCAAATGTCACTCAGTAAACAATTTGCAAGTTCTTAAAGAGAGAAATTATCTGTCGGTATGGGCTACCAGAAAGGATCATCACCGATAATGCTTTGAATTTAAACAATAAGATGATGGAGTCAGTATGTAAACAGTTCCAGATTAAACATCATAATTCCACCACTTATCGCCCAAAGATGAATGGAGCGGTAGAGGCAGCCAATAAAAACATCAAGAGGCTGATACAGAAAATGACTTAGACTTATAGAGACTGGCATGAGAAGCTGCCATTCGCTCTGTTTTCCTATCAAACTTCAGTAAGGACGTCCACTGGGGCAACTCCATTTTCTTTAGTTTATGGGATGGAGGCTGTGTTACCCATCGAGGTTGAGATTCCTTCACTACGAGTGCTGTCAGAAGTTAAGCTAGATGAAGCAGAATGGGTGCAAGCTAGGTATGATCAATTGAACCTGATTGAGGAAAAAAATTAAAAGCTATCTGTCACGGGCAAATGTGCAGAAACGTGTGATAAGGGCACATAATAAAAAAGTTCGTCCACGAGAGTTTCAAGAAGGAGACTTGGTGTTAAGAAAGATTTTGTCAATTCAGAAAGACTTTCGAGGTAAATGGATGCCAAATTGGGAAGGACCTTATGTGGTAAAGAAGGCCTTTTCTAGATGAGCTTTGATCCTCACTGAGATAGATGGACCAGAGTTACCTAACCCTGTGAATGCTGATGCAGTCAAGAAGTATTTCGCCTGAAAAAAATGAAAAATGAAAGGAAAAGGAAAAGAAAAGAAAACGATAAAAAAGAAAATAAAAAAAATAAAAGGAGGGTTCAAGATGAAAACCCGTAAAAGGCGTCTTGAAACCAGAGAAAGTCTCAGGTTGAAAACCCGTAAAGGGTGACTTGAGAATTGTGTAAATTCAGAATTCGTGCATGGCGGAGCTGAATTAATTTTAAAGGCTTGAAATGGTAGTCATGGATTAGGACTGGAAATCGAAGAGTTTGGGCAACCAGAAAGTAAATAAGATTCAAACACTGGCTTATGGCATTCAACAGTTGGGAATTTGGCAGTATAAGGGGAGCTTCATACCCTTACGCATTACCACAATCCTCAAGATCCCCTCGACAGAAGCTATACTCGGGTCCTCTTACGGCGTGCCAGTTCAAAAGCATTCGTACTGTTAATATTTGATGATGCCTACTGTGTTTTCTTTTGATTATTTCCGTTAAAAGTTTGTCATGTATTCATCCAAAAACTCTTTATTTATAAATAAAAAGATGTTTTTAACCGCGTTGCAAGCATCCTGATTAAAAATAAAAACATCTAGATTATCTCGGTAAACATGAGACAATTGTGCATTATTGTACAAAAAGTTTTGGAAAATGCAGATATTCTGAAGCTAAAAATGGTTTTAGCATAAGGCTTACACAATGTCAAGCCACAAGAAGTTAAAACCTTGGGATACACGAGATTGCTCAACAATGTGGGGTAACCAAAGAGGTTTTGTCACTGATTAAATAACGGGTCATGAGAAGCACATGGGTTCAAAGAGTAAAGAGAATCAGAGTCAGGCTCAACCAAGGAGTTTCCAATTAGGTTTTTCGATCGAGATGAATTGCTGATGATTTTTTATGCCCAAATCAGTCTGAAG